CTCTTAAAATGTGGAATGATTTAGATTACAATCAGGCTTCTTTCCTGTCTTTTGAAAACCATTTGTCAAAACCCATCTCCTCTTTTGACACAATCTGATGTGTATAGATGTTTTAGTTTATTTTAATTGATTAGATGTTTTTATTACAGAATTATTTTTACTTTGCTTTTTAGGTTTTCAGTATGTCCTGTGACAGTTGTGTTTCATTTACTGTACTGTACAGCACTTTGGTATTGTGGTTATTTAAAGTGTCTTATTAATAAAGCTAGTATCGTATAGTAACAATACACTTATTTATGGGATCATTTTGAATCTCCAATTAACATAAAACTGCATGTTTCTGAACTGTAGGGAAAACTGAAGTACCCAAAGAAAGCTACACATGTACTAGGAAAAAAAAATCAAGCTCCATAGCAGAAAGCTTGGGGCAAGATTTAAGCCTTCAAATTCAAAAAGTGAAAAGGTTATTTATTATATCACTATGCAATTCTTTTTTCTTTTTATTTTTTAATTAAGACAATTTTATTTCGAAAAAACTATTGATTTTTAAGCACAAAACTTGCTTATACAAAATATAAAGTATCAAAAGGTGGTTTATTATCAATGATGCATTGATTTATCAGTTACGGACTGCTAAAACGTGATTTTGGGGTCACAGTTCTGTAAAATTGCTTCCTCGCACATTCTTTTATGTCTTTCGCTCTCAGACAGTAAATTAGTGGATTGACCATCGGAGGACCAAGGCTATAAAGCATTATAATTACAACGCGCACATTAGAACTGAAACTAATCCCAACAACGCTGGCTAAATATACAAAACATCTTGGTAAATAATATAGTGAGATTATTATCAGCTGAGTACTACATGTTGAGAAAGATTTTAGACGAATTTTGAAACCTGCTATCTTGCTTACCTCAATAAGTATGGAGCAATAAGAGAAAACTATGAATGCCAGAGGTACAAGGAGAGTAATCATTGCACTGATAAAAGCTGGTAAAGCATATCGGGTCCTGTCAGTGCAGGCCAGAACTGTTATACCAATATGATCACAAAAACAGTGATTGATTACATTTGAGCCACAATAAGGAAGAGGGTATGCTTCAATGGCAAAAATTAAAGGAGGTGCAGCAGCAATTATCCATGCAGTCAAACTGAGAATGTGGACATTGACATTTTTAAAAACAATTGTGTAATTTAGAGGATGACAGATGGCACAATACCTGTCAAATGCCATGAGAAAAAATATAAAAGAGTTTACTGAGCCAAGAAAATGAACAAAAAACATTTGGACAAAACAACCAGTAAATGAAATATTTCCTGATTTAAACCAATATCTTGATATGATTTTAGGTAAAGTTGTTGTGCTGAAGAGAAGGTCACAAACTGACACATTTAAAAATATATAATACACTGGCTTATGGAGGCTTCGGTTAGTTGCAAATAGGACTAAAACAACTACATTTTCCATCACAGTCATCAAATACACAAAAAATAAAACAGCTGAAACCAGACCATAGTACTCTGGATGAAGTCCAGGGAATCCAGTCAGTATGAATTCAGTCACTCTGCTGTAATTTCTTGCTGACATAATGTGGAAGGAAAGTCCTTTAAACATTGGAAAGCACACAGCATGTTAGATAAAACATTCAGACCGTGGTTTAAACTGTTAAATATAAAAGTGGGTAAATATTAACAGTGCCTTTATATTTCTAAATAACAAGATATTTTCATATATTAGCAAAGTTTAAATTAAATTCTATCTTTTTACAAATCACTGATTCACATTTTTCAAACAAATATAATTAAAACACTCAGCATTAATTTACATATTTGTGTTTTTATATGTTACAATAAATTAATGTGATTTCTAATTTAAAGTCAAAATTCAGCACAATATATAGACACTAAAAAGTTATTTCCATTGAAAATACCTTTGACAATCAGAGCAGCAGAGTACTCTGACCTTATCTGTGAGGTACCTGATTATAATTACTTCTCCCAGCATGCACTGTGATAAAGGTGGAGTTACTGCTCATCATTCTTTTTTTATTCTCTCATGATGTCTAACGTGCAGTTTGGTAACGCCAACTTTTACTTGATGTGTGTGCGAGTGTGAATAATTAAACTAATAAAAAAATTGTCTGTCTCGTTTTTTTTTCTGTGCGGCCCCATGAGGAACTGGTGATTTGTTTAGTGTGACCCTACCTCTCATCTAATGACTGCTGGGGATATGCACCATGACGTTGATCAAAAAAGTGAGTAATGAAAATTGATGGATAGATGAAAGACAGACACATAGATGGATGACTGGATGGCTGGATGGATGAACAGGTTGACAGATGGATGGCTAGATGGCTGGATGGATGGGTGTTTGGATGGGTGGATGGATGAATAGAAGGATGGATGAACAGAAAAACATATGGTGGATAAATGGATGGATGGATGAACAGACAAACAGACAGATGGATGGGTGGATGGCTGGGTGGATGGATGGATGGATTGATGGATGAATGAACAGACAGATGGATGGAAGGATGGATGGATGGATGAACAGACAAACAAACAGACGGATGGATGGATGAACAGACAAATGGATGAATGGATGGATGGATGAACAAACAAACAGTCAGATGGATGGAAGGATGGATGAATGGATGAAAAGACAAACAGACAGATGGATGGCTAGATAGCTAGATGGCTGGATGGATGGGTGGGTGGTTGGATGGATGGATGGATGAATAGAAGAATGGATGAACAGAAACACAAAAGGTGGATAAATGGATGGATGGATGAACAGACAAAGAGACAGATGGATGGAAGGATGGAGGGATGGATGAACAGACAAACAGACAGATGGATGGATGGATGAACAGACAAACAGACAGATGGATGGATGGATGGGTGGATGGATGGATGGATCGACGGATGAATGAACAGACAAAAAGAAGATGGATGGATGAACAGAAAAACAGATGGTGGATAAATGGATGGATGAACAGACATACAGACTGATGGATGGATGGATGAACAGACAAACAGACAGACTGATGGATGGATGGATGGATGGATGGATGGATGGATGAACAGCCAAACAGACAGACTGATGGATGGATGGATGGAAGGATGGATGGATGGATGGATGGATGGATGGACAGCCAAACAGACAGACTGATGGATGGATGGATGGATGGATGAACAGACAAACAGACAAACAGACAGACTGATGGATGGATGAATGAATGGATGGATGGATGGATGGATGGATGGATGGATGGATGGATGAACAGCCAAACAGACAGACTGATGGATGGATGGATGGATGGGTGGATGGATGGATGAACAGCCAAACAGACAGACTGATGGATGGATGGATGAACAGCCAAACAGACAGACTGATGGATGGATGGATGGGTGGATGGATGGATGAACAGCCAAACAGACAGACTGATGGATGGATGGATGGATGGATGGATGGATGGATGAACAGACAAACAGACAGACTGATGGATGGATGGATGGATGGATGGATGGATGGATGAACAGCCAAACAGTCAGACTGATGGATGGATGGATGGATGGATGTTTGTGGTCATTATGGATGCTGTGATCCTGCCCATCACCTCTGATGGTGTCAGCTCCAACAGCCCAGCTGGGTTTTGAAGGAAGCTCCTTCATGATAATAACGTCATGTCACAAAATACAGTTCTTTATTTTTCTCACATTTAATGCTCAAATAAAGATACAAAACAACACTCTCATTGATAAAATTACCTCCAAGTAAACGCACTTTTTTTTTCCAAATCTATACATGAACATAGATGAAAGATTGCTTGACTTTAAAAAAAATCCATAAATAACTGTATATGTACATTTTTTGAAAGGCATCTAGAGATTGTATGTTATTTTACTCTGAGGTATCCTTTCCACGCTTTTTTGGCAGCCTAACATAAACAAATTTGGCATTTTAATAATTGTTTTAAAACCCAGTCAATGCCAGAAAACATTTGCAAATTTATTTTACACTAGTTATCTAACAAAATACAGTATATTAGAAATTTTTCATTATCATTCTTGCCACTGTTGATTAATTTGCTCATGTTCCATAATTTATCTATGTCCATCAGACTGACTGTATTGAGCCCTTTCTGCTATCTGAGACCTTTCTTCAAGTATTATTGTGACGGTTATTCCTACCAGGGCTCAAGTATCCCCTATTATAAATGACCCCTCAGCCCCTGCACCCCCGCTCTGATGTCTTCACCTTGTCTCCTTGGCAGGGTTTTGATGAAGCTTTGAACCCTGCAGGCTGTCAGTCATTTTCCTGGTGTAGTGTCAGTTTCAAACATGCACTTGTCCATCCATCCATCCATTTTCTTTACCCGTTTATTCCATTTTGGGTCACGGGGGTCGCTGGTGTCCATGTCCAGCAATCACTGTGCGAGGGGCGGGGTACACCCTGGACGGGTCGCAAGTCCATCACAGGGCCACATAGAGACAAACGAGACAAACAACCATTCACTCTCTCACTCACACCTAGGGACAATTTAGAGTTACCAATCAGCCTAACATGCATGTTTTTGGTCTGTGGGAGGAAACCGGAGTACCCGGAGAAAACCCACGCATGCACGGAGAGAACATGCAAACTCCTCCCAGAAAGGCCCCTGGACCGGGGTTTGAACCGAGGACCTGCTCGCTGAGAGGCAGCAGCTCTACCAGTTGCGCCACCGTGCTGCCCAACATGCACTTGTCGAACATCTATAAAGAAACAAAAAACCCAAACTGTTCTAGATGTTGCAGTTCTTGCAAATCACAGGCCAAATTCAAAAGTAGATTTTCTCTCAAAAAATCATTGAAAATAAAGTTTACAATCAGTCAGTGGCTTTTCTAAATGAGCAAACTATTTTAGAGGTTTTGCAATCTAGTTTTACATGCCTACTTGCTCTTTGGAGATAAATCTTTTAAAACAAATGAGTGGGCAATTTTTCATCAGTGCACATATTTAACAGGTTCTCGGTGCCGAAACTTTTGCATTTGGGGGCACAAGTTTGTAAAACTGCTTCCATAAACAATTTCTTATGTCTTTAGCTCTCAGACAGTAAATTAGTGGATTAACCATCGGAGGACCAAGGCTATAAAGCATTATAATTACAATTCGCACATCAGTACTAAAACTAATCCCAGCATTACTGGCTAAATATACAAAACATCTGGGTAAATAATATAGTGAGATTATTATCAGCTGAGTACTACATGTTGACAATGATTTTAGACAATTTTTGATACCTGCTACTTTGCTAACCTCAATAAGTATGGAGCAATAAGAGAAAACTATGAATGCTAGAGGTACAAGGAGAATAATCATTGCACTGATTAAAGCTGGTACAGCATATGGGGTTCTGTCAGTGCAGGCCAGAACTGTTATAACAATATGATCACAAAAACACTGATTGATCACATTTGAGCCACAATAAGGAAGAGGGTATGCTCTAATAACTAAAAATATAGGAGATACAGTGGCAATTATCCATGCAGTCAAACTGAGAATGTGGACATTGACATTTTTAAGAATACTTGTGTATTTGAGAGGATGGCAGACAGCACAATACCTGTCAAATGCCATGAGAAAAAATATAAAAGAGTTTACTGAGCCAAGATAGTGAACAAAAAACATTTGGACAAAACAACCAGTGAATGAAATAGTTCCTGATTTAAACCAGTATCTGGTGATGATTTTAGGTAAAGTTGTTGTGCTGAAGAGAAGGTCACAAACTGATACATTTAAAAATATATAATACACTGGCTTATGGAGGCTTCGGTTAGTTGCAAATAGGACTAAAACAACTACATTTTCCATCACAGTCATCAAATACACAAAGAATAAAACCGCTGAAACCAGACCATAGTACTCTGGATGAAGTCCAGGGAATCCGATCAGTTTGAATTCAGTCACTCTGCTGTAATTTCTCTCCAACATGATGTGGAAGGAACGTCCTTTAAACACTGGAAAGCACACAGCATGTTAAATAAAACATCGAAACCTCATTCCAAATTGTTAAATATTAACAGTGTCTATATATTTTTAGTAATACTTCTGTTTTTAATCCATATGCAATGTATACTATTAAATTAATTAATTGTTTTTTTAAATGCTCTCCTCATTCTGCATGAATTTTCATGTTTATGTTTGTGCAAAGACAAATAAACCTGTGTGATTTTAAATTATGGTTTTAATTACCATAAATTATAAGTACAAAAAATAAGTTCTTTCAGTTTCTAAGTACCTTACACAAACAGAAAGTGTCCACTCTGAATTCTCATCTGTTAGGAGCTTGCTTAAATCAACAACTCCCATCATGCATAAAGGTGGAGTCCTTCATTTTCATATTCTCTCTGGATGTCTGACTTGCAATTTGAGAAGGGGTTCTCTGCAGGCCAAAAGTGGGCGTTTCTGGCGAATATGCATTTGTGGGGGTCAAACTCTGATTGGCTAGCTGTTTTTGCTGCTCTTTAGGTAAGTTAAAATACCCCCTGCTATCTCTGTACAAGAGGATGAAGTAAGGAGGCTTTTTAAAAGGCTGAATAAACATAAGGCTGCAGGCCCAGGCCTTGTGTCACCCTCCACGCTGAGACGTTGTGCTGGAGAGTTGGCTTCGGTCTTCACAGGGATCTTCAACTCTTCTCTGGAGTCATGCCACGTCCCAGCCTGTTTCAAGTCCTCCATCATCGTCCCTGTCCCCAAGAAGCCACGTGTCACAGGACCAAATGACTACAGACCTGTAGCTCTCACGTCTGTAGTCATGAAAACCTTTGAACGCTTGGTTTCATCTCACCTCAAGTCCATCACCAGCCCCCTCCTGGACCCCCTGCAGTTTGCCTACAGGGCCAACAGGTCTGTAGATGACGCAATAAACCTGGCTCTTCACTTCATCCTGCAGCACCTGGACTCCCCAGGAACCTACGCCAGGATCCTGTTCGTGGACTTCAGCTCTGCATTTAACACATCCTCCCTGCTCTGCTCCAAGACAAGCTCTCCCTGCTCCATGTACCTGACTCCAACTGCAGGTGGATCACAGACTTCCTGACAGACCGGAGTCAGTGCGTGCGGCTGGGGATTTCTCTCTGCTTTCAGGAAGTCCCAGTTAGGATATCCACATTGCTCCAGGGCCTGTCTTGTGTGGAATCTCTATTTCTCCCTGACACCTGAGTTAGTGGGTACGCTGTCTGCTCTGTGGTACAGAGTCCTGATGACTCTCATCCTGTGCTCCAGTGGATGACGGGAGTCAAACTGCAAATACTGTTCCATGTGGGTGGGTTTGCGGTACACATCATTTTACCAATGTCCTCCATCAAAGACTGAGACCTCACAGTCCAAGAAAGCCAACCTGCCATCTTTTATATCGTCTTGTGTGAACTTTATATATTTATTCACAGAGATGATATAATCCATGAAATGTTGGATTTCCTGTAATTTAATTTTGACCCAGTTGTCATCAGCATACCTGAACAGAGGACAAGTGGACACTAAACTTAAACATCACTTGACGGTATCCTTGAAAATGATGCAACAGATCTCTTTTCTACCTCCTCCATGTACAGGTTGACAGCAATAGGAGAAACTGGAGACCCCATAGCACACCCATGTTTCTGCCTATAATATTGCTCCCCATATGTGAAGTAGGTTGACTGCAGGCACAGTTT